CACCCCACCCCACCTCCGCGTCTCCTGAGCTCCGCTCCTTGGCACGCGCCCAGGGCACGCGTTCCCGGGGGAGACCCTGGAGGTGGAGGGAGAGGTCGGGTGACCGCGGGGAGTTCACCTGAGGGCGCTCAGGGCTCCAGAAGCCCCCAGGGTCCCTCTTGTCCTCGGAGCCCACAGAAACTGGTCACAGGATCAAGCATCAGCGGAGAGGGAAGGATTCGAATAGGGGGCGGTGGGGGCGCTGTCCAGGGGTGAGGTCCCCCACCCCCAACCGGGCCAACGCAGGAAAACGGGCTGCTGAGCCAATGGGACTCTGTGAGGACGGCGCGGGGCGCAGCTGGCGCGGGCTCAGGGAAGCGCGTCCCCGCAGACCGGCTGTTTGTCTGGCTTCCTGTTTCAGCCTTCGGGAGACCATTGGCTCGTTCAAATCCGAGGCTGCGACGCTGCAGCCGGCCGCCCGGCGAAGGCAGTGGTGCCCGGTTTTCCTCCTGTGGCCTCTTGTTCCTGCTCCATGGGGTCCCCCCGCAACTCCCTTACTGGGGAGCAGGGGACTCACACAAAGAACCGCCCCCCCCACACCCCCAGGCAGGGCTGTTCCTCAGACGCCAAAGATACATGTGACTCCAGCCACCCTGAAGGTTCTCGCCCTGCTTGGGGTTTGGTTCGGTGTCTTTGGAACTAAGTTGGGAAGGGAGACAGGGGCCGTCGGGGCTCCCTAAGACGAGCTCTGCGGGGATGCAGCTCTCCCCTTGGGTTTCTAGGGGAAGTTTGCTGGCTGTCTGTAGTTGCGCGTTGCCTGGAGAATCCGAGAGTAAATAATTCCTCGCTGGGCGGGCCTTCGTTTCCACTTCTGTAAAATGGAGCTGGGGGGGTTGAAATGGAGCTCAGGGGGGCAGAAGCTCCAGCCTCTGGGGTCGATTTCCTGAACTTCCCGGGGTAGGAGGGAGCCGCCCTGGGGGAAACACCCTCCGCGTGGGTTTCACATCCTCCTTTGTGTTTAGACATTGGGGGGCGGGGGGGTCTGTGCACAGGCCTCATCTCCTTGCCTTCCAGCCAGAGGCCCTCTCTGACCGCTCACAATACCCGGCACACAGTAGGCACTTTATAAATGGCTAGCACACAGTAGGCACTTTATAAATGCTGAATTAATAAAATTGAGGGGATCTAAATGCCATCCAGAGGCCTCCCATCCAATGCAGGTGCCCGTTTATACGTTGTTTGGTGTGTGTGTGATTTGTCTCCACCCCCCAAATACACGGTCCATAGTGAGGTGGATTTGCCCCCAGGTGGGCCAGCTTTAAGCATTCAGGCCTTTTCTGGGATCTCCTTGGGGAGCCGAGGGAGCCTGAAAACAGGAACTGTTTTTCCTTCCTCCCTAAGCCGGCCCCTCCTGAGTGACCACGAGCCCCTGCTGTCAGCTCGGTGGGGAGAAAAGAGGGGCCTAGAGGAGAAACATCTCTTGTCCGTCTTTGAAAATGTGTCTCTTCATTTTTCCTTTGGGTCAGTGCCGCGTCCCTCTTTGAAAGTTCTTTTGAATTTTTAAAGGGTTTGGCTTTTAGAAAAACTAAAATGTCAAAGTCCAAAGGATGGCTTCCCTTCCCACCCTGCTCTGCCCTGGGCCCCTTTACAGAAGGGACGGATGGGCTCAAAGCCACACAGCTGGGCCCCCGCCTGGCTCCGGACTCATGCCTTCCCAGCGAAGCCCCTCCTGCCTCTCAGAACGCTCTCCCCCGGGTGCTCCCAGAGGCTGCCTGGCTGTTGGCAAGAGAGGAGGAGACAGGAGGGTAAGGAGGGTGATGGGACCGAGTGCAGCAGCCGAGTCTGGGAACACGGAGAACTGAGCAATGTGGCAATACTTGGCGAACAAAATATCTCTCTGGCCCCTCGTCACCAAACAATAATTAAAAACACTTTTAGTTTCTCCTACAACTTAAAAACCCCACCAACTTTCTGAGCGAAAGCCACCCCCTTCAGGAAGCAGCTTCCTGGGTCTAATCTGGGCCCTCCCCCTTCTAGGAAGCTGACTCAGGCCAGTTCCTCCGAGGGGCCTGGGATTTCGTTCCCCAGCTTCCCGTGACTCCGGGAACGTGAAGGGGGGCAGTTTGGCTGAGAACCAGGTCACGCTGACCTGCTCGCAGAGGTAGTTCTCCTCACGCGTGTCCTGCGCCATCCACACCACCGCCCCGGGCCGTCAGGTCTGTCTGCTCTGCTTAATTTTCATAGGAGATGTGCTCAGATGCCTGAAAAATTACAGGTGCTGATGCATGTGCCCGCGCGGGGTCCGTTAATAACGAGATGTTTCCAGTTCAAAGGACCCAGACTGTCCTGCTGCCCAGCCAGCCCTCAGATGCTCTGAGAGCAGCGTAAATGGGGGTGTTGTCTTAATTTCTTTTCAGAGTGTCCATGGCTGGTGCAGAGAAACACGTGTGTGTTTTCTCGTTCTCTGGATCGTTGCTGAATTTGATGTTTAGCTGTAGCTTTTTTGTTTTTTTAATGTGTGTGGGTTCCTTGGGATTTTCTATAGATAGAGGATCATGTCAACTGTGAGTAGAGATCATTTTATCTCTTTTCCAATTCGGATGCCTCTTATTTATTTTTCTTGCCTGATTGCTCTGGCTAGGACTTCTATCCAGTATGATGTTGAATAGCAGCATCCTCGTGTCGTTCCTGATCTCAGGAGATAAGCTTTCAGTCTCGAGTGCCCTTCATCAAGTTGAGGAAATTCCCTTCTCTTCCCAGTTTTCTAAGTGTCTTTATCATGAAAGGGTGTTGGATTTTGTCAAATGATTCTTTTTTCTGCGTCACTTGAGACGATCATGTGTTTGGGTCTATTACGTCGATTGTTTTGCTTATGTTGAATTACCCTTATATTCCTCTGATAAATCTCTCTGTGAGCTTTTTTTTTTTTTTTAAATATTTGAAAAGTTTCTTTTATTTAAAAAGATTGAAGAAAATTTGACAAAGGGCTAACATTCTGCCGTTGGGTGGGTTGGTGCAGGCCCATTATATTTTTCTTTATAGTTATTGAGCTTTAAACATTTGAAAAATGTTCATGGTGGTACAATGTACGTAACATGAGCTTGGCCACTTAACCACGTTTAAGTGTACAGTTGAGTGGCATTAAGTGTACAGTTGAGTGGCACTGAGCGCGCTCACGTTGTTGCGTACCGTGGTCATCACATCCATCTCCAGAGCTCTTTCCAAACTCTGCAAGTTTGAAGTTTAGTTTCCAAAGTGAAACTTTGTATCCATCCGACAGCACCTCCCTGGTCTCCACCTCCCAGCCCTTGGCGACCAACATTCTACTTACCTGCGCTCTCTATGAATTTGTGGAAACTTTGTAACCACTAGAAAAGTCAGGACTCAGCTGAACGCTGCATGGAGGGTTCAAGGACCTCACCTCCCAAGGGAGCACCTGAAAGTCATTTTGATTGGGAGCATCATGACTTTCAGCCTCTCAACAGCTGCCTGCGTCAGAGGCTCAGAGGGGTCTGGCCCAGACGTAGGGATGAGCCGACTCCTGGTGACCTGGGTGCAGGGGGCAGCAGGGCACCTCACCCGAGCCCCGCTCCCTTCAGCTCAGCTGTTCTCCTTCTTGGCTGCGCATTGGAATCACCTGGGGACCTTTTAAAAGTCCTGATTCCTGGGCCCAGCCCAAGAGGTTCAGCTTCATTTGCTGGAGTGTTGTCTTCAGTGTCTGTTGTTTTCCAAGCTCCTTTGACGGTTCTGATGCTCCAGGAGGGTGCCGGCTGCTCACAGGGGGAGAGCTGACCTCCTCCCTGGAACCCTCGATGGGTTGTATTTTCAGTGACGCAATCCCCTCCCCATCTGGACAGCGGCAGTGACCCACTTTACCTCCCTTCCCGGATTTCAAAATCCATTTGTAAATAGAGTCAGTGCAGACTTGCACGGGACCCAACCTTCGAAGTTGTAAACTGTACAACTTTTTCACCCACATCAGGCCCCTCTAACCGGGGGTCATTGGGCTTGGATACCTCTGTCCCTGGGGAACTCACTCCCAACAGCAGGATGTTGAAATCCTCTTAGTCCCTACTTGGGCAGCTCTGTCTTTCAGAATTCCTTCTGGTATTAATCTGTCATGGGCGAGGCTTCTTCATTCGTGAATGATACCAAAATGCACCCCAGATAAAGTGGGGATGTTCGAAAGAAACCACGCAGAATAGGTGTGACTGACAGATAGCCTTGCGCAGCCACCACCTTCTGGTGTCTGGGCGCAGCCCCACGTGCCCGCCGCCTCCTCTCCACTCTCAGCAGCCCTCCTTCCTCAGGCCTTTCCTGGACGTGTTCTGGGAAGTAGGTGATGCTGTAGGAAGAATTTGCACCATAAAATGGGCCAGACTTGGAGCCAAGGTTCAAATCTTGACTTTGCTTGTACAGTGCTGAGCTCTTGTGAGTATCCAGTGAATGTTAGCAATGGAATTTCTGTGTCTCGAGGCTGCAACGTGGGTGACCTGAGGCAACCACAGACCCTCTCAGGGATCCCAGGAAAAGCGAAGCAAAATGCCTTGCTTTTTTTTTTTTTTTTTTTTAATTT